CTATCGAAAATAAAAATTCCGATGATATCGAAACTTTTTAAAAATAAAAGTTTTCCGTTTCAAGGCTTGATAATAAATAAAAACCAAACTCGTTTCTTTTTATTGTTGTCAATATATGTTAATGTTTAAATTTTCAATTAATAAACTTATAATTTGATTGCAAAATCGATTAGGTATATATTTCATATGCGTAAGAAGGTACAACCATTAAGTTTAATTAATAAATTTTCAGATAAATAAAATTGTATTTTTAAATTGATTCTTTTACTGTTAACTTATTGATTAATATTATTAATTTGGGTACCTACATATATATTAGCTCATTAACCTTTTTCGACATGACATACAAGTAATAATAAATTGACTTAAGTACAGTTGAAAAGAATTATGTATCCTCCAAACAACGTACTTTTACGAATCGTATTCTCTTTCCGTAACGCTTATAATTGGGTAAATCCCCAAAATAAACGTTGAATTCATTGATGCATTGGATGCGTTTCTAAACTGGACAATAAGATGCCAGCGATGAGTTGAGTGCTATGTTTAAGGAGCTCGCCTATTTTTAATGCATATCGTCACTCCTTTGATGGGAAGAACCCGTTACTTCCGAATTACTTCATTAAGTACTCTTCCGTTGAAGTTAGATTATATTTAAAACACTTTTTTGCAATGGATGTGAGACGAATAATAACAGAACTTATACAAAAGGTTACGAAAAATGATGAAGCTTTAATTTTAAAAATTTCTTTTTCAATACTAAAAAGAAGTTTGTGAAGAAATTTTGTGAATATAATATGTGTTAATGGTCTTTCCTCGAGAGTTATACAGTAAATATATTATTCATAGAAGAAAAACGTTATTTTTTTTGTTTTTATTTTATAATGAATGTATTTTTTTTTTTTATAAGAAATTAAGTATTTTCTATCATAATAAATAGCATGAAGTTTAATTATTCACCCTTGTTAGACTTGAATTGGAATATTTCTACATGGTAATTAAATAGACCTGTTTCGTTTTAGTATCGATACTAAATGAAATTTTCAATCTACAATATTTTTATAATAATATTGTCTTCGTAACATTGCTGTACCTATTTAAATTTCATATTCTCAGAAATTTCTACCGTGTATTCATGCTTTGTTTATACTTTTACTGGTATTGCTATGCATAGTATGCATTCTCATGCATATGCCTTCAAAGAGACCAGTTGAAAACTTAAAAAGTTGAAATACCTGTCGTTTCATTACGATGGTGTTTTATGTAATAATAACGGGAATCCATCTTCTTTAACTAATCAGAGGATTAATGGGGTCCGATTGGAAAACAACCAAACCAATGGGTTTGTGTTAGTTTGTGCTTTGTAATTGATTCAAATTGTAGATTTAATTTGAGTAAATACAACGCGGTTGAGAGAGTGGCACAGGGATCTCCTAAAGTCCTGCTTTTCCCCCATAGCCCAGTAACCTTTTCATGAAAAGGGGGTTGCATCGAATGGGGGTAGAAGGTTTCTTTTTTTTTATCTTTTATGGGATGTGACAGAGATGTAAAATCCAAGTTTTCGACCTCTCCCTCCCTCCGGATTACTTTTTAAAACCCCGAAACTGCTATAGTTTCGCACATTCCCCATTTTGACCATGAAGAAGCCCGTTTTTTACAAAAACCATTCTATACCGTTTTAAACTAGATTAACTATGCTACAACTCAAGACCAAAACAGGCTCGGTAAATTCAATAATTTTTGAGCCACAGGTTTTCAAATTTTATCTTCCATTTACTCCTGGAGTCCTGCCTTGGCTTCCACGTCGGGGAATAAGGTATGACTCAGAGTCCCCTGTGTGAATTTAAATATTGTACATAGGTGTGAATGTGATTTATTTACTTTAATTTCATCTAGCTTTTATCTATTATTTCATTTTTTTTTTTTTTTTTTTTTTTTTTGTACACAGGCATACCAATTTACTTATTTTATTTTTTTTATATTTCTTTTTCTTTATTATTGATATTAATTGTATGTACATATTGTGTGAATGAATCATGTAGCCTTAATATTAATGCCCTTCAATGTGGCAGAATGTATTAATATTCAATAAAGAAAGTTAAAAAAAAAAAATCTTCCATTTAAATTATTTTTCTTGTTTGATCATATGCAATTGTCTTTTATCTTCAATAACCTGTCTGATACGAGGCAGTGAAATAAATATTTATTCATTTTAATATTTTGAAGGAGGGGTGATGGAGGGGGAGAAAAAAAGGGGATATCGTACTGGATTAATATCTGAGTTATATAATGCTCTTAAAGGATTAGGGCTTGCACTAATCTACCATTTTCATTTTCTTCACTACACATATATAGATATCTGAGCAGTTTCAAATATAGTTCCGAATAGTTGGAAAATAAATAAGATGTTTATTTGTTGTACAGGGTTGTACTGTAGATTTATTTTTCTGTTTTTTAAACACATTTATATTATATTTTAACATTTCAAATTATTACAACGCTTCTATAACGCATTAATATGATAATAAAATATGTTAATAAAACGATTTACTTATTAGTACACATGTTACAGTTATTTGGTTAGCAGTGTTGCGGCTAATCATGCGTCCTGGTTTTCCTTCCACGAGTAGGGGGAAAGTACTGGCTCGGAGTTCTGAATGAATGGATTTTGTTAATATTGTACATGAGCATGCCTGTATTTAAGTCGTTATTTTGATTTTTTAAAAGTTTATTTTTGTTTATTCATATTCATTTTTAGTATTTTCATTTTAATGTTTTTCTATTTAATTTACTTTTATTAATTGTACATACGAATAGTGAACTCCTGTATCACTATCACTTATGGCCTTAGTTGTGACAGAATGTAATGTTATTCAATAAATAAATGTTTTGAAAGAAAAAAGATTAAAAAAAAACAACAGTTATTTGTTATGATGGATGGGTAATTTTTTTTTTACTAAGTTGTTCTGATCAAGTCGATTTTCTTAGGTCCAAAAATTCTTGTCATAAAATGGAGACATGTTAGAGACAACAATGAAAAAAATATCAAAATAGTTACTAAAAAAATATATTATGAATTATTATATTTGATCAATATATGATTACATTTACACACACAAAAAAAAATAATTTTATATGTTTTTATTTTATAGTTAAAACATCTTGTTAACAAGATTATTTATTATTTTACGTTTCGGCTCTAAAAAGCCATTTTAAAAAATATTTTCTTTAAAAACAAAACAACATTAGTCATAAAATCATAATTTATAAAAATTATCAAATATATATATATGTAGTATACTGTTTAAAGTATATAATGTATAATACTATTTTAATGAGATAGTGTTTATGGTATGAAAAAAATACGTGGATACGTGTTGTTTTTGGTTAAAATTAGGAGAAAAAAAGGCTATTTGTGGATGTTGAAAAGAAGAGAACAACAAAAAAATTTATATTTTAATCAAATAATTACTGCCCTTTGATTGGTATACTATAGAATAGAATAGAAAAATAAACTTTATTCTGGGACGATGTCCCCTTAGAATAACAATAATGAATATTTACATAAGAAAAAATACATATCTGGCCAAAAATTTACCTAATAAAGATTCAAACAATATATACAACAACTTAAATAATAGTATGTAAACAATTAAAAAATAAAATAAAATCTTCTCAACTATACTTATAATTGTACTGGGAAAAATAACAAAAAGAAAAGAAAAGAAAAAAAAAAAAAAGAATTACACGTATAGAAAGAAAAAGCAACAGAAAAGAACAAAATATCAAAGTACGTAAATAAAAAGTATTAACTTGTTATGTTAAAATCCAAACAGCTAAAACATACAAAATATATACATGGATTAAAGATATATTAATGACAGGATGAGCAACGGGATCATGATATTGCATTATCCCGGCATACGAGATATAAAATAACAATAAATAGGTAAATACATTTAGGAAGGGGCACTAAATTAATTTTATGAGAAAACGATTGCGACAATAATAAACAAAAAATATAATAAAATAATCTTGTATGAAAAGAAAAGAAAAAAAAATTATCCTTGTTACATAATATATAATTAACCAGCGTCTGATTGGATTGTGAAAATATATATATATATATATATATATATATATATATATATATATATATATATATATATATATAAAGGTATATTTAGAACCGAAACGTAAAATAAAAATTCTTGTTAATAAGATGTTTTAATTATAAAATAGCGTTCTAGACCAATCTCCACTTGCTTTAGTACCAGTGACGCGGTTGAAAGAGTAGCTCAGGGATCTCCTGAAGTCCTGTTTTTCCTTCCGTAGTTGGAGGGACTAGCCTGAATGAGAGTTCCTTCGCCTGATTGTAAGTAGTGTATAAAGGTATGTATGTGTATTTTTTAAAAATATATTTATCATTAAGTTATTTTATTTAATTTATTGAATATAGTTTTTGATTATTTTTTTGTTTCTGTTTATTTTATTTTATTTTTTTTTTATACAGAGTGTGAATGTGGTTTTAACTCTCTATAATCATTGTACAAGTGACAGAATGTTATACTATTTAATAAATAAAATAATCATAAAATAAAAATGTGTGAGATTAAAAGTTTTTTTAATGAACTTAATTATATATTTATTAAACATAATAATTATTTTAAAAAATTAACTAAATAAGGTTATCAAACATATTATAAATTATTCAAACTAAAATGTTTCCTTACGGATTTTTTTTTTTTTTTTTCGTTCCACAAGATCCATTTTAAGGCCGCAATTTTAATGAAACATCAATAAAAATTTAAAAAAAAAAAAAAAAGAAGAAGAAAACTTTTCTTAGGGTGTATTTGATGTTGGAAGCCGAAGCAAAACAAAAAGAAAAGGACTGGATAAAAAGAGGAAAAAAAAAAAAAAAAATGAATCCAGGTAATAATAAGGTTGCCATTGTACAGTAGCCAGGGTCCCCCTTTCTAACCCCCTCCACAGCCAGTTGGTCTGTAGCGTTCCACTAGTAAGTGTCTTACCGCCCGGGCTTCTCTCTGACATGTCTACACTGAAAGAGGTTCACGTTCGAAGGTATTTAAAAGTTTTTATACAAAACCATATTAGCATTATATGTAAGAAATTATTTAACGAAACCGTCAGATATCAACCCTGGTTAAGATGTTCACTTAATAAACGCCGAATCCATCGAAACGATTTTGACATACACTGTACCCAATCGAAACATGCCATAAATCTATATAAATATATATCAAAAGAAAAATATATAATTAATTAATATACATAAATATTTATATATATAATTATCATCATTTGCTTCATAAATTTAATGTTATCAATTTCATTCCACGTACTTTCTTTCTTTATATTTTTTTAATGACTCATATACTATGAAACAGTCGAGGAGTTCGTTTGACGTTTGACCGACTTTATATAAAATTTAAAGTGTTACACTTCCTGGTTTCCAAGTCCCAGAAAATTTATAGCTAGTGCAAGAGGTGACGTCATAGATTGCATTATCTTCTACCCTCAAATAAAATGCGAATTTATTAAAATTTATTTTCTCGCTTCAATATCATTTTATTTTTTAAATTTAAGTATCCATGGAAAGTGTGTAGTTATATCAGGGTTGTAGAAACAGGCGTGTTTGTTTATAGATAATTTGTTTGGAATATATATTTGTATTTAGTTATGATTTATTTATTGAATAATATAACATTCTGTGACTTGGACTATGGTTATGGGGAGGTAAGACCACATTCACACTATATGTATAAAAAATATATAAAATGAACATAAGCACAACAACAAAATAATAACCAAAAAATATATACAATAAATAAAATAAAATAACTTAAAAATAAGAAAATTAAAAACCAAACACATACATACCATATAATGATTTAAAACTTTTAAATGAACCTTCTGGCCTAATGAAAGTTCAAATCAATTTCAGTTCTATTTATTACATCCTTGCGATGTTATTATCGTTTAAATATTTTCAGACCAAATTAAATATTTTTTGACGATATCCTAATATTTATTGATCTTTTTTTAATATAATTTAAAACAAAAGATTTAAAATAACCATTCAATGTTTATAAAATATAAACAAATCGAAGTATAACTGTTTCTCTTGCTATCATCACAGTATAAGAAAATTTAAAACATTTTACTATATTAAAAAAAATATTTTTTGTAATAATAGTTACCTGTACCTTACGTACCTTATTTTATACGAATTAATAATTCTAATGATTAAATTATATAGGTACATAGTTATAAGATAAGAATAAAATCTTATCAATGTCTTATGATTATCAAGCGATGTAATGATTAAGTAACGATTGGATTGTAAATTAAATGATTTTTTTTTCTATGATCAACATGTATTCCATCTTTTAATTTAAAATATTTTTTAAAACACTACTGTTACCCTTTCTAATTTTTTATCATCTAAATTTCAAAATAAATCTATTTTAAAGCAATACGAATACTATGTACTTTAAATTTAAGACATTGCTTTTTGGTTCGTTAAGTCACTTAACACAAACTATCCATTATCGCTAATGAATAGGCAAATAATCAACTTCGTACTACTTTAGAATTTTCATTTTTTTTTTTATTTAATATTTAACGTGATTTATTATATATATATGCAAAGAGAGAGAAAGGGATAAAATTTTAAATATTTTTAATCCACTATTTGTGATTACTATACGTCTATTTAATAATTTTCTTTTTTCAATTATTTCACTACCATTGATTACTGAGCAATAAAAACAGTAAATTATTTTTGAAATAAATATTCAATTGTTAATTGATTACTATTTTTCTGTTTTGGTTTTTTTCTCATAAACTTTATGATCAAATGCATAATTATAAATTAAAAAAAAAAAGTATTTTGGCTGTATTTTCTTCATCTATTGCACTTGTCAGAGTATAACACAATATAAATATTTCATTATAGTATGAATTATTTATGAGCACTATAAATGATTCTGTAAACTGATTTTGATGTTTAGTCATAATAATTAATATTTGTTAAAAATATAATATGCATTTTAAGTCTGTTAAATATTCAGTGAAAGTGATGTAATAATGAATCATAGTTTTGATTAATTAAAAAAAAATGAAATAAAATTTCCCGATTATTTGCCACGATATTATCTCACGATTTCAATTCATTAAGAATGGATTAAATATTGTACTTTCCTTTAATAATTAACACTTACTGAACTAATATGTTAATTAGAATTTGTTTTAGAAAATTTATATAATATTTTCAATATTTATGTTAACATTTTTAATCTATAATTTTCCGATAATCTTCCCAATTTACCTTTTTTAGAAATATATTTCCATTAAACATTTCATTTTAAGAGGATTAATAAAATTCTCTACTCATCCTTCAGCTAATCATATAAGATTTTCGTAATTATAATTATTCAATTCATAAGAAGTTTGGAATCAATTTCATTATTAATTGTTATAATTATGATTGCTTATTATTTTATTTTAAAAATTGTTCTCAAATCAATTAAATTTGTGAATACCATATCTCTTTTATTAGAAAACAAAAATGACAAAATATACCTAGGCGAAATGCATTTTAAATATTATTGAAAAATACTATGTATTTTGTTTTTTGAAACTAGTTTATTTTAATTACAAATTATTTAAATGGTTGTCAGGAAAAGGAACAAACACAAAATATTTCTGGTGGATGATCAGCATTTAATACGGGGAAACTACAATATTCGATAATATATATTGTCCATTTAATTTTTTTTTAACTCATTTTTTGCATTTTGGTATCTTGGAAATAAAATACAAATACTATTTTTGTATTTTAAAATACTTCATTGGAAATACTGTCCAAGTTAGTTTTAAAGGAAATAGCCATTTTCTAGTTTTATAAATTTTCCTATTTAATTTATATATAAAGTTATGTTTAAATTGGTCTCTGAACACTGCTATTGTCATTATTTATTTCTCAACTTATTTATACTTAACTGATGGAAATTTTTATATTTAAATTTAATTAAAACAGTTCAATGTTGCTATAAGAAATATATGATAAGATATTTAATAAAGCAAAACTAAATATGCATATCATTTATATCCATGCAAATAAATTCTGTAAGTTTTATCTATTGTATTATTATTATTAATCATTTATTTTACAAACTTTAAACTAATCCATAGTTATAAAGGATATGTATTTTCAAAGATGTCTTTTGTACCAGACTATACTCTCACTTTGCCAACTGTTAATAAATTTTACTTATTGTTAAAATACCCATTTATGGCCGATGATATATAGCTCATATAAGCCGGTCTTAAAATTAAGAATAAATAGAAAAATATACAAATATATTGTTATCAGTCCTAAATCTATTTATTTTTTTACATATCTTTATTTCAAGGTCTATGGATAAAAATAATATTTTATAAAAACCAAACACTTTTATATAATTTCTGTGTTTTAAATTAACAAGAAAAAAAAAATAAAAAACTTGAAATTTAAAATCCGGATGATTCTGGTTTGTGACTTTTGTAGTAATGACAAACTAACGAATTCTTCCTCGTTTACTAACATAAATATTTATTACTGTTCTCAAAATCACATCAATGTAAACATAATGTTAAAGCTTTTTTTTTTTTATTTATTGAGAAAAAATATAGTTTGCCTCAATTAAGGGCATTGAGTATTTAGGATATATGAAACACAAGCATACCATATATACAATAAAAGTAAAACAAGATTATAACAAAAGAAAACTTGGAATAACAGAATAAATCATACATAAGACAACATTAAATAAAAAATTTTAAAAAAACATTCATACTTAATTGTTAAAGCTAATGGAATAAACACAAAATTAACACACGCACATATTTATACATATAAAAGATCCTTCCTTAATGAGTATTAAGAAGATGTGGAAGAGTATTTACTAACAAATAAAAAAAAATTGAAATGTTTTCATTCATAAGTTTAAGAATGACTTCGTACAAATTACGGGAGTCCTAATCCACAAGATTTTTTCTTTCAATTAAGTTTTATTAATTAATATTTTATCGGTGTCATTAATTATGAGGAATTAATATGATGGATACAAGTGACAAAGGAGCAATAGTTAATATTCATTCTTACGAAAGTTCAGATATTTATAAGTAATCGTATTTTGTAGTAATTTACAAGTAGTCATTACTACAGACATTTACAAGTTGAGCTAATGGTTTTAGTAAATATTTTAATTGTAATAATATCGCAGAATAATTTTATTATTGGTTGTAATTAATAATTTCATGATCTAAATATATATCAGGGTGTTTTGAAAATTATGATTCAAGTCCCGAAACTTCAATGGATTATAAAATAAATAATTATAAGATCTCATTTTCTCAACCTGCAAACATATCTTAAAAAATTTAGGAAAAAAAAGAATTGTACTGATTGTTAAATTTTTATTGGTATTTGATTTAAAAAAAGTAAAATCCCACGCATCCCATACACCTTTAAAACTCATGCATTTTCCAATCGATTTTTAACTTCAAATTCTCACGAGACCATTTATTTTGATGATGGAATCAAGAACAACATCAGGTGTCAACGTGGGCGTTACTTTTCTAGATGCATGAGCTTTATACTAAATGAGTGGGTTAAATGTCAATGATAACTTATTGCAGGTCCATTATCTCTCTGCAACCATTAAATGAAATAAATAACATTTTAAAGTTATATCTGTTAAATTTGTGTAATAATCTCTTTCAAGCATATGTTTTTATTTCCTCTGACGAATGATTCAACTGGTAAAAATTTATAGAATTTATCTAAGAAAACTCTTAAGACTTTTATAAAATACATAGTTTTAATTTGATTATGATCTTTAACGCTTGTTTATAAGCATCGAACCGTTGGATTTACCAAATCTTGTAAAAAATATTAAATATTTTATCGAAACCCGACAATCTAGTATAAATGAAGTTTTATTTTCTACAGTGTATGGTTCACATATACTTCGTTCTATATGTATATATGCGTGTGTATATATTGGGTTGGCAAA